TTTTTACTGTGTTTTGCTATATATTAAGATTAAAGATCTACATTTCTTCCAACTGAAATTTCCTTCGGTCAATAGGGCGCAGCATGGGCCACCTGGAGCCCCAGTCATGTTGGAACCACAGAGAGAAGGTGCCCAGGAGTGAGTCCACGGGGGGAATGGAGGAGCTGGGGAGGGAGAAGAAGGTAGGGGCCTGATCTTAAGAGACAACAAGAAACATTTGGTCTCCAAGGAATCAGGGGCAGTGACTACGGGTTTTAGGCAGAGCTGTCACGGGACACAGTTGCTGTGAGTAAAGGTTCCGGAAGAGGGAAGGGCAGGGGAGTGGAACAAAGGCACACCACCCTGGCAGGGGCAGAGGGAAGCAGGGTGGTGTCAGCTTCTGCACTTTACCCTCGAGGCCAGAGAAAGCCAACCTCAACTTTCAACCCCAACCCTAACCCTGTTGAAAGTTAGTGTGCTGCCTTCCAGAAAAACAGGTTAGTGTATCCACTTTCAGGGGAGATGACAGGAGGATCTGTTACTAAACTCTGAAGCTGCAGCAAAAAAATGATCATGCACCAGGGAGGAACATGCCGGAGACCCATCTTAGGAAGCTCGTCTGGGGCTCTAGTCCTCCATCGCCCATTGCGGCTGCCACCAGAGTAAGCTGACTCCGCGGGCCTGAGAGGGCGTGGGCTGCAGAGGAAGAGGCTCTCTGCCCGCTCTGGCTAAAACAGCCCCACATTCCCCTTCATCCATCAGCCCAGGAGGGTGGTTCCCTATTGCCAACCACCTCGCTTCAAGATTGTCCCTGACAGCCCTGGCCAGGTAGCTCAGTTGGTTAGAGCGTCCTCCCAATACGCCAAGGTTGTGGGTTTGATCCCCAGTCAGGGCACATACAAGAATCAACCAAAGAGTGCCTACATGAGTGGAACAGCAAATCAGTGTTTCACTCTGGCTGGTGTGGCTCAGCTGGCTGCGTGTGGTCCTGTGCACCGAGAGATGGCCAGTTTGATTCCTGGTCTGTCAGGGCACACGCCGGGTTTCGAGTTCCATTCCCTGTTGGAGAGGCAGCAGCCCATCCATGTTTCTCTCTCTCTCCCTCTCTCTCTCCCTCTTCCCCTCTCTCTAAAATCAATAAAAACATATTTAAAATAAAACGAACAAACAAAAAACCAAATTGCCCGGCCATCGTGGCTCAGTGGTTGAGCGTCAACCTCTGAACCAGGAGATCACAGTTTGATTCCCAGTCAGAGCACATGCCGGGATTTGGGGTTCGATCCCCGGTAGGGGGTGTGCAGGAGGCAGCCGATCAGTAATTCTCTCTCTTCAATGATGTTTATATATCTCTCTCCCTCTCCCTTGCTCTCTGAAATCAATAAAAATATATTTTTTAAAAACCGATGTTTCTCTTTCTCCCACCCCCCTCTCTCATACTCTTGCTCTCTCCCTTCCTTCCTCTCTTTCTAAAATCGATAAATAAATAACAAATTTTAAAGAAAGGATTGTCCCTGACATTAACTAACCCAACCACGGACAAAGTTCAACCGGACCTTGACCACCTGCTCAGGCAAAAATATCCTGAGGGACTCCTTCTCCTTCATCACC